AAACTGCGTCGCAGAAGCCCTCGAGGAAATGCCAGTCTGTGACATTCCAGTTAGCTATGTAGGATAGCTGTGAGTTGCCTCCACCAGCGGAGTCATGCCTAGCGATACCGGGACATGCGCCGCCACTAGCACTACTAAAGGTGCTTCAATAAGGTGGGCTAACTCTATGGTGCTAGTGCTATATATTCTCCACTGCACTCTACCCGATGGGTCTCGCTGACGAGCCGAAGGCACAGCGGTGTAGTAACAGAAAGCGCGCCGAAGGCGCGGGACCTGTTTTGTTGATCAGCGCGCGCTGAACAACAAAAACAAGATAAGCTAACCAGCTTAATGCGCGCAATAAATGACGGCCCTGAGGACACGGGCCGTTGCGAAACAGTTAGTCTAACAGTTACGCATTGGGCCTTACGCCCAACTAACCCAGCTTACTTACGCAAGCTCGCATTACAGTCAAACCCACAAAAGCCTGAGCTATCCAGCTCCGAGCCGTATAAAGCAATAATATACGTGTCTAGAATGTAAATATCTAACTGTTGATATGAAGCTAATTTCGGGCATTTGAGTTTTGGCATGGTTCTGAGTCCTGGCTTCGGTTTTAGTTGCATGTGTTACACGCATCAGCCCTACAGGCATCGATTCAAACACATGTAAGCCTGGGATTAGGAAGCGCAGAACGTAACCCCGACACCCTGCGAACCTGAACCTATCGGCTATTGCAATTTGATCATGCCTTTTCGACGCCAGGAGAAGCCCCAAGGGCCCACACACCAAAGCATCCGCCACCCACCAATTAAAGTAATTTCTACGTGCTGCACAATACGCACCCGAAAATCCAATGTACTCCCCGGGCTGAGGGACAACCTCGGCAGGTTTTCTGGTACGACAGTCAACCCCCAACTGCAACAATCGCCTCGGACCTCTTCCAATAGCTGAATTCGTGTCGGTATTCTTTATTTATGCACCTCCTTGCCTCTACGGTATATGTTTAAATTTGAAACTGTAGTCAGCCCAACCTTACAGCAACGATACCGGCAGCGTCGCTGCGCAGCTCCGTTCTCCGTGTATTTTTCTCCGGGCAGCCTGAGTTGTGGTGCATCCTATATATACGCTTAATACGGTACTAGGAGTAAGTAGCATCTACGTAGAAACGGGCCCGGAGCCCAGAAATGGAACGGGTCGCTGACG